TGCAGTGCCTAGTTAGGTGCCTGGATGATAACACCAGGTGCGAGTGGTTTGAGTCTTGGTGCCACCATTTACTCACTATATGCTCCTCTCTGCATTTTGGCTTGACATCTATAAAATAGGCACAATAATAATAATAAGAATAATAGTGTTTACATTGTAGGTTATTGTGAAGCATAATAAGATCATTGATATGATTTGGCTCTGTGTCCCCACCCAAGTCTCATCTCAAATTGTAATCCCCATGTTTTAATCCCCATGTTTCAAGGGAGTGACCTATAATCCCCATATGTTGAGGGAGGGAGGTGATTGGATCATGGGGACAGTTTCCTCATGCTGTTCTTGTGATAGTGAGTGAATTCTGACGAGATCTGATGATCTTATAAGCATCTGGCATTTCCTCTCCTTGTACTTCTCTCCCCTGCTGCCATGTGAAGAAGGTTCTTGCTCCCCCTTCACCTAAGCCATAATTTTAAGTTTCCTGAGGCCTACCCAGCCGTGTGGAACTGTGAGTCCTTTACTTTATAAATTACCCAGTGCCGGGTAGTAGAGGGCAGAAGAGTTTGGAGGGGTCAGAAGAAGATAGATGTGGGAAAGTCTGAAACTTGTTAGAGACTTGTTAAATGGTTTTGACCAAAATGCTGATAGTGATGTGGACAACAAAATCCAGGCTGAATTGGTCTTAAATGGAGATGAGGAACTTACTGGGAACTGGAGTAAACATTACTCTTGCTGTGCTTTACCAAAGAGACTGGTGGCATTTTGCCCTTTCCCTAGAGATCTGTGTAACTTTGAATTTAAGAGAGATGGTTTAGGGTATCTGGTGGGAAAAATTTTTAAGCAACAAAGCATTCAAGAGGTGACAGAGCGTAAAAGTTTGGAAAGTTTGCAGCCTGACAATCCAATAGAAAAGAAAAACCCATTTCTGGGGAGAAATTCAAGCTGGGTGCAGAAATTTGCATAAGTAATGAGGAGCCAAATGTTAGTCACCAAGACCATGAGGAAAATGTCTCCAGGGCACGGGCATGTCAGTGACCTTCACAGCAGCCCCTCCCAGCATTCTATGTGTGAGAAACATAGAATAATATCTAGTGTGTAGTAAACACTTAATATGCCTGGGCCATTATTGGTAATAATTGAAACAGTCTGGACAAAATATCAAAGCATAATCACTTATGATATGCTTTGACTGTATCTCCACCCAAATCTTGAATTGTAGCTCCCATAATTCGCATGTGTCATGGGAGGGACTCAGTAAGAGGTAATTGAATCATGAGGGTGGGTCTTTCTGGTGCTTTTCTCAGTGAATAAGTCTCATCATATATGATGGTTTTATAAAGGAAAGTTCCTCTGCACATGCTGTCTTCCTTGCCTGCCTCCTTGTAAGACATGACTTTGCTCCTCATTTGCCTCCCGCCATGATTGTGAGGCCTCCCTAGCCATGTGGAAGTGTGAGTCCATTAATCCTCTTTCCTTTATAAATTACTCAGTCTTTATTAGCAGTGGAAAAACAGACTGATACAATTTATATATACATTTAGTTGTGACCAGAGACAAATAGTACTAACTGTCCTATTTTTGTGAATGGGGAAAATGAGGCATACAGTTTCATGAAATATTTATACATGAAGACATCTGTGACAAGTTAGTACCTACTTTACATCAGTAGCTTCTCTTTTACTGAAAATGACATTTTATTATATAGTAACGAAAATCATATATACATATGATCTACACTATTTACACAAAGAAATGCTTTTCAAATTTTATGCAGTATTATCACTAAAGGTGGGTGAGAATAGTAAACTAATAAAACTGGAGGGTAAAGGGGAATTGATGAAAAAAGACAGCCAAATAAAAATCTGTCTAAAATCTCATGTTTTATCATTTGAAGACTATGAATTTGTCCTTTGATGCCTGTATCAGTCAACTTCTGGCAGGAGACAGCTGTCATTTTCAAACTGGGTAATTGAAGAGAGTGTTATAAAGAGATTATTTATAAAGGTATAAGTAGGTTTTAGGGCAGTCACAAAGTAATAGCACAGTACTGTCTAGCAACACACTGGCGTCAGGCACATCACTCTTAGGTCTGACGAATCAAGAGGAAGGAGGAGTTGCCAGGACCCAGCCTAATGTATAGGTCTGCCTGGCAGGGGTTCTGACTTTGTTGAGCTTGACATGGCCAACATGAGGCATCCTATTAGGGGTGGGGGGGATTCAGGAAACAAATGCTCCAACCTTACTCTTCTCCCTGCCACCATCTCTAGTCAGCACTTCTGAATGGTTGAATGCAATAGATAGCAGGATAGCAAGGGAGCCTGTTGAATCTGCCTATGCAAGTCAGCCTCCAAGTGCATAGGACAAGATGAATAAGGGTGAAGAATGGATAGAGAAGAACAAATGAAAGATATCCAGTACAATAAATTTATGTTTGCTACAATATTAAAATGACTTCAGCATTTACCCATTAAAACTACCATCACATTTTTCAGTAAAATTGATGCATCAGGATAGAAAGATTTGTGTGTCCTGGTTTGGGTAGCATAGATATAAGCACATCCTTTACTACAAAATTGATCTTTGTCAATTTTGAATCCCTAATTGAGTTGAATGGTGTTGTATTAGTTTTCTGTGGCCACACAATGAACTACTGCAAACTTAGCAACTTAACATACTATAAATTCATTTTCTCACAATTTCTGTAGTCCAGGCACACGCTAGCTTGATTCTCTGGTTAGGGTTTTGTCTGGCTGAAATCAAGGTGACCGTCAGGGCTGCAGTCTTCATCTGAGCTTGGGTGTCCTCTTCTAACGTGGTTGTTGGCAGAATTGATTTCCTTGCAATTGTATAATTGCATTCCTGTTTCCCTTCTAGCTATTAGCCGAGATCACTCTCAGGTTCTAGAGGTGGTCTGCAATTCCTGCAAATGTGGCCTCTGTAGGCAGTTCACAGGGATGTTTGCTTTCTCCTAGGCCAGCTGAAGCATCTTGCTGACTTCCTCTTCTGGAACCAGTGGGAGAATACTCTGTCTTTTAAAGGGCTCATGCGATTATGTCAGGCCCACCCAGATAATCTCCCCAGTTACAACCTGTATTACATCCAGCAGTGACTGAATAACTGGGAAAAGGTGTGTGTACGCCAGAGGCTGGGAATCTTGGGGAGCATCTTCAGGTTTTGCCTACCACAGTGGACCTTAAAAACATTGTAGCCCTCTTTCTTTCCACTCCTTGTGGAGGATCTGGTGTTGTTGCTGACCTCTAAAACCTACGGTAACTTTGGGGTCTCTAGACTAGCAGGAGCCACAAATGTACACGCCTTTAGGGGCTAAGTAGATCTCATAATCATGGTAAGGTCATCATTAATGACAACATCTATTTCAGTTTTGGATACACTTCTTGATTCAGCCACAGGTCATTCAAAATTGCAAATATAGTCTCAATTCAAATTTAAAATGCCAACTCTCATGTAATAATCATGTAAGTAATACTGTAATACTTGCTTATAATTTAGGGTTCCCTCCTTACCAGCCCTATAGACCTACACTGGGGAGAGGGTTGTGATTTTCATTCTTTTCTCTTTCCATCCCTAGAGATTCCATTTCTGCCAAATAATCTGGTTGGAGACCAGGGAGGGAGAGGAAGAAGGAGGGTCTGGAAAAGTCACACTTTCCTGAGTGCTGTACTCTGCCTGTGGCAGGTGTTTACATTGAACTCTTCTCATGGGCCTCACTCAGACACTGATATGGTTAAGCTTTGTGTCCCCACCCAAGTCTCATCTTGAATTGTAATCTCCATAACCCCGTGTCCAGGGAGAGAGCAGGTGGAGGTAATTGAATCATGGGGGTGGTTTCCTCCATGCTGTTCTTGTGATAATGAGTGAGTTGTCACACGATCTGATGGTTTTATGAGGGGCTTTTCCCCCTTGCTGGGCACTTCTTCCTGACACCTTGTGAAGAAGGTATTTTGCTTCCCCTTAGGCTTCTGCCATGATTGTAAGTTTCCTGAGCCCTCCCCAGCCATGCTGAACTGTGAATCAATTAAGTCTTTTTCCTTTACAAATTACTCAGTCTTGGGTAGTTCTTTATAGCATATGAAAACAGACTAATACACACACTCCCACATCACCAGGTATCTCCAACTGGAAGATCTCTTAATACAGGCGAAGGACTCTCTTCTAACTCTTGCACATAAAGCTCTTAATTCAACTCCCATGAATCTGGACAGTTGCCCCCAGCAACATTAAACTGTGGGGATTAGAGATTTGTTAGTGAAGTTTAGCATATTTTCATATGTTTATGATGCTTGCTTATATAGTTTGAGTAATCTATTTTATTGTTCATCTTTTTAAATTAATTTGTAGGTGTTCTTTCTATTTTCTAGATTCCAGTACATGACTTCTCTTTCCATTTGTCTATGAAGTCTTTTTATCAAAGTTTTAAATGTTAATGTAGGTAAATTTACCAATTTTGTTCCCCTTTCCTCCCTTTTTGAATTGGTAATATTTTATTAGTATTTAACTTTATATTTTAGAAATCACATTTAATGTGACCTAGTTAAATTTAATTAAAATGTTTTCCTAATTCTTAAAGGTCTGACAATTTTACATGTTTCAATGTATTGCCCTCATGTTTTAAACAAAAGAGAAAATAATTTTAAAGTCACATTTTATGTATCTCACAGTCATACATTAAAACCATTCTTAGGCTGGGCGTGGTGGCTCACGCCTATAATCCCAGCACTTTGGGAGGCCAAAGCGAGTGGATTACGAGGTCACGAGATCGAGACCATCCTGCCTAACATGGTGAAACCCTGTCTCTACCAAAAATACAAAAAATTAGCCGGGTGTGGTGGTGGGCATCTGTAGTCCCGGCTACTCAGGAGGTTGAGGCAGGAGAATGGTGTGAACCCAGGAGGTGGAGCTTGTAGCGAGCTGAGATCGCACCACTGCACACTCCAGCCTGGGTGACAGAGCGAGACTCTGGGGGGGGGGGAAAATTCTTAGTATTATCTAGATTTATTAAGTTTATTAAATAGAATAAAATGGCAAAATTCAAGGCTTTTAACAGTAGAGTGGTAAAGTTCAAGTAGAAGAAAGCAAAACTCAGAGTAAGAGAAGAAAAGAACAATATTTTGCCTGTGCCATTTACTTCCCACAAATTTGCAAAGTGAGCATTATTATTCTTAGTTTCCAGATGAATGCACTGAAATAATTTGGATATTTATCCTCTCCAAATTTCATGTTGAAATTTGGACGTGGGGTCTGGATGGAGGTGTTTTGGTTTACTCAGCCAAAGAATTTAGCTTGTTTGATTTGAAGCTGAGGTTTGAACCCAGGCTCCTTTGATTCTAAGCCCAGATATTTACCACAATATCTCGGTGATCATCCAATTTATATGTCTCAAGTATCTGTGCCACTGAAAAATTGAGAAACCATGCATGTATACATTATACCTCCAAAGGTTGAGACATAGGTGGAAGTGCCCAGAAAACCATTTGACACAAAGGCGTTATTTTTTGTTTTGGCTTTGGGCTAAAAAAACATAGATTACAAGCAAATGCTTTTGAGTCCTTTAAGAAGTCTTATCTTGCTTTTAAACACCTATAATATCTTTGGCAATGATATTCTGCTTATTATTACTTTTAACGGCAGGTCAAGGCTCTTTTGTAGTTTGATTGAGAGGTGTCAATCAGGACTAAAAAAGGTGTAGGGAAATACTATTCTTGAGATTCCAGTACTCCCACCAGAAATCTCTGCAAGCACTTTCAGCTTCCATCCAGACAATTTGAATTTCAACTATGTTAGACCTCTGTGATATATTTAGAAAAACCAGCTTCAGAACATTGCTAAGGTAGTTACAAGGGTCTAAACATTTCAGAGCTCTGTAAATTAGCTCAGTGGTTGTGTAGAATGGTGTTGAAGAAAATTTAATGTTGGCATTCAGAAGTTCATTAAGAATGTGTGTGCTATGGTCTAAATGTCTATATCCCTCCAAAACTCATGCTGAAATCTGAACTCCCATGGTGTTAGAAAGTGGGGGCTTTGGGTGGTGATTAGATGGTGGTCACAGAGCCCTCATGAGTAAGATTAGTGTCCTTTTGAAAGTGGCCCAGGAGGGACCGTTCATCCCTTTTACTGTGTGAGCACACAGCAAACAGGCATCGCATGTGAGCCAGCAAGTAGGCCCTCACCAGACACCAAATTAGCCTTGATTTTGGAGTTCCCAGCTTCCAAAACTGTAAGAAATAAATTTATTTACAAGCCTCCCAGTTTATGATCCTTTACTATAGCAGCCCAGGATGCTATAAACTCAGATAGGGTGGTTGACCGAAAGTAATCTTATATTGTTTACAAAAGGCAAATCTTTCACAAGAAACAAGAGGTATTTTGAGTTCGCCATCAGTCCAGTGAAGCAAGATTATGCTAAGAAGGATGTTCTTCTGTTTGCTACTCAACATTGAAGATGTGAAGAATGAGAACATTTGGCTGGAAATGGCACCTAATGAAACAAACACCTGCTGGTGGGACATATACAGCTATAGGCATAAGACAAACTATCTCAGCCCTCCTGAGACTTGCAGGATCTAACTTCTTCATGCATGGCATTTATATCTTTGGAAATGATGAGGTTTAATTTGGCCAAGAATAAATGTCTAAGTATGCAAGAGTTAGAGAATGGCAGCCACAGGGCACCATTTTAGGTTAAAATAGTGTGCATTTATACACACACACAGCAGTTGGAGGGAGAGTATGGTTCTTGGAAATTTTGAAGCAATCACTATTTAAAGTTCATGGAAAATTCACTAAATCATTGTTTTGAGATTTGGGTTCCATATATCTTGTACCTCTCCTTCTTTATAGACCCTTGATGAATTGAAGACATTCAAGGAGGTAAAAAGGGATGAAATTGTAGTGCCAATTTTACTACTGGTCAAGTCAAACTGGGGCATATGGCTGGGCTTTCCATCTCCTTCTAGGAATCCAGACTGCAGGATCCCAATTTATCTTCTCAGGAGTAAGCAGAAAGGCTGGAACTACACTGATGGCTCTGGGTAAGAGGCATCTAAGCCTGGACAATAAGGCAATCTAAGTGCCCTGGACCCCTACCCAGCCCTGTTACCCCACCCCCACCTGTATTTTCACAATGCTCAGCTCTCATCATTCTCACCAAACAACACACACACAACACACAAACACACACACACTCTGCTCTGCCAAGTACAGGAAAAACCTCGCTTTTGATGACCAGGGGGCATTGTTGATTCTATGGGAATTCTATTTTAATTAAAGAAAAATGTTCTTTCATTGCAAATACTTCCAATTCCACTGCAGATTCCTAGCAGAAGTGTGTCACGTGGAAAATCAACTGATTCTGCGCATCCATGGTTAAAAGAACGATTTCAATAGCAATGGAAACAACAACAACATCAACAAAACCCAGAATAAATTGTATCTACATTACATTTATTATGAAAAGTGAGATGCAAAAAAATCATATTCTAAATTTTTTGAGGGTAAAACTAAGTCATTAGTTGAATTTCAGAATTTTAAGCATCCATTCAAAAATCAAATCCAAAATGAAGGTGTAAGTATATGCCATTCCAAAATCTTATTTCATCTTTGTATAAATTATAATATTCCTTCTTTTTTCTAGGAAATAAGTTTTATTAGTCAATATCTGGAGGATGAGAACTTTCTGAAATGATTTTATGACCTTTGTATATAGACATTATAAAAAAACATAACTTTAGATTTTAATATTAATACATTCATAAATGGACTTTCCATTTTGAATATTTTTTCTTCAGTGATTTAATATTATACCATACTTTTGATCTTTCTTAGTTGAATATTTATACACATAAATGATTCTCATATTGAAAACTGTAATTTTTAAAGTTATATTTTTTCTGGGTATTATTTAAATTAATACACATCTTCCAAAAACAATCACATAAATTTATCTTTTAAGCAACCATACGTATTGACAAACATCAAGATTTCAGGTATGCTGCACTTATAAACATCTATACTTTTATTAGTTAAAAAACACTGCCACTCTAGTTGTAACTGTAGTGTTCTTGTATCTGGTTAATCTTTTATTTTTATTTAATATACAAAGATGGCACATTCATTCTCTAAAACATGAATATGTTTTTAAATGTGATTCTTAACTTTCTACTGAGAAGTGGTTGTTTGTACTTTGCCAAATGAAATTCTCTGTCAGGGGTGATTCTGGTATTTCCATTCATATTTTCTTTCTTTTTCTTTTCTTTTTTTTTTTTTTGAGATGGAGTCTTGCCCTGTCGTCCAGGCTGGAGTGCAATGGCATGATCTTGGCTCACTGTAACCTCTGCCTCCCAGGTTCAAGTGATTTTCCCGCCTCAGTCTCCCAAGTAGCTGGGATCACAGGCACACACCACCATGCCCAGCTAACTTTTGTATTTTTAGTAGGGACGGGGTTTTGCCATGTTGACCAGGCTGGTCTTGAACTCCTGACCTCAGGTGATCCGCCCACCTTGGCCTCCCAAAGTGCTGGGATTGCAGGCGTGAGCCACTGCGCCCAGCCTCCATGTGTATTTTCAATCTGATACCCAGCCAACGTAATTTTTAGTGTCAAGGATTCAAGGTCAAATTATGTTAGGTTTTAAGAACCAGGTCAGAATTTTTGATCCCTAATCAAGCACTTCCTTTCAGAAGAAATGAGATAAATTCGAACAATATCAATTAACTGGTTGGAATTGTGATAAGCTAACAAATCTTGTCCAGAGTTGACACTTGCCAGCTAATGATTCTAACATTGTTACCTAGTCCACACAGTATCACCTGTTACTGATAATACTAATTTTTTATTTGAGTCCATCTTAAGGAACTCAAGACATGAGGCAATTTAAGTGCCCTGGAACCCCACCCATGGGTTCATTGCTCATATCCTATTATCTCACCAACATCATCTGCAATTTTTCTCCATTTAAATCTTTGACTTCTCTTCGGTGTTGGTAATCATAGTGCATAGTTTTGCTGAGCTCAAGAGAAGAATGCCTGTGATCATATTCACTTCGAGTGATTATACGTGCTTGAAATCTAGGGATCCATTTCCAAAAAATGTAGGGTTTTTATTGGTTTGTGCAAATCAACACATTGATACATGTCCAAAAGGAGTCTCCAAAACATAATTGGTTTTCATCACTGTTTACCATTTCCAGATATAAAATTAGGTACTTAAAGAACAGCATTAATTCTCTGTAGCTACTCAGTTACCAGTCTGTGCTTCAGAGGCTGGACTTTTCTAAGCACAAAATCTGCTACCAGGGAGTAACACCATTAAATGGGGGGCATCTGATCCAATAATAATATTTGCAAAACAGAGCAGTCATGGAAATATGTAGCTTTCAATTAGTGGTTTTAATTTGTGATTTATTTGAATATACTAGTATAAATAAAATGTATAATGTGTGCATATATATGTGGATAAGCTATTTACATTTTTATGTGTAGAAAATGAAAATATATATTGATTAGCCCTTTTGAGGCTTTTGAACAACTGTTTCATCTTCCGTCTTTCCTGCAACTGCTTTGAGGATTTAGATAATTCATACAAGGTATGTACACAATCACACCCATAGTATGTACATCCTAGTCACACACTTAACACAGAAAGGATGTGTGAGGAATGTAAATTATCCCAGTGGTCAAAGAACTGACCTTACCTGTGACTAATGGCATGGTTAATTAGCCCTGGCATATTTAATAATATGCCAATGTACTGATTACTATATTCAGCCTTTGTGATAATTATGTTACCTACTCAAGGAGACAATTTAAAAAAAAAAAAACAGATCAAACAGCCCTTTCTGACCTTCAAAAATAAAAGGACAAATTCTGTTACTGAATACATGTGCACACTTTTGTTGGCTTTATTCACGTATTTACATGTGCCTGCCTGAATACAGAAATTGGCCTTTAAATGGGATATGACAAGTTACTTTTTTCTACACATAAAAATAGAAAACTGATCAGACTGTAAAACTCACAGAATGTATTGACATACCATGACCAGCTACAGTATTATGCACGACATATTGTTCACACATTAGTAAAGCAGAGATACACACATTTAGAAATTTAGTAATTGCTAGTATATATTTTTCTTGTTTTCAGGCTGTGTTGACCTCTTTCAACCTTAATAAAAGGAATCTCCAGGGGCCCTTAAAACAAGAATTAGTCTCTCCTCTCCTCTAGGGATTGGGGAATATGACTATAATACTGCAATCTCTGGATATACCAGCATCATTTTAAGACACGATGGAAAACATTAGGAAAAATAAGTTACTTAAAGATGTGATCTGAAACAAATGTTAAGGAATCTAAACTAAAATCATTAACGATGCCATTAACATGAGTAAGCCCTTTCTACTCATTTTATATAGTTTGCTCTACACACAGCCTTTACATGTTATTAAAAGTAATGATATGAATCAGAAAAGAATTGTTTAACTGTTCAAGAGTTTTTCTAAAGACAGACAATTTTTAAAGCAACAAAGAACTATACTAGCAGCGATGTCAAAAAGCAAGCTATAATTTTCGCCCCAGAAATAAATGAATGACATCTCCATAGTTAAGAGATAAAGTTGTTAGCATTTCTCTCCCATTTAATTCTTTCTAACATCATTAAATCACTGGGGTATCTCATTATAATTATTACCATGCAGGTTGATCATCAGTATCTTTTTCTAAAGTGTAAAATTTTTTATTCCTACTATTTTGCAGCCAATTAATTTTGAGCTTGAATCCAGAAAGATACTTGATGAAGAGTTAGCATTTAGAAGTGCCCATCTGGAGCATCATTTTCTGTAAGGCATCATTTGAAGCCTCTTTGGATACAAGTACTCATGTTTTAGTGATTTTACATCCAGGAGCCCATTTTTTCACAGCTAAAGCTGGTAATCCTCTGGGCAGAGTTAATTGAATTGCTTTCTACATGCTAGTGTCCAGAAAGAGTAATTACCGTAAGTTTAAAGTCTCCATTTCAACAAAACTTCTGGTTGCAGCTGTCTTGAGTTTTAAGCCAGCAAGACTTTGAGTGGCTCCTCTTCACTCTGGGCTCACATAAAAACATAGATGCCAACTGTATCCTTACTAATGATCATTAGTGCTGTACCTCTTTATGAAGCTTCTAAACAAGTTTTTCCAGGAAGAAAGCAGAAACTATGCCTTTGCTTATTTTATCCTGTGGGTTACAGTCAGTCTTCATAAAGCAAACCATCATTATATAATGGTGTGCCCATAATAGATGCATTTGCTGGTATAACTGCCTCTTTTTGGCACATTATTGCTTGACTTTAATTTCATATTCAACAGTCTTTATTCTCATTATTAGTATCTGAGATATTTGTGTCTTAAAAAAAAACTTGTAAATAACATCTTGTTGCACCATTCTGGCCACTACAAGTCATTTCACCAAGGTCCATGGTTATTTGAATGTTGTTTATAATTATCATCACTTTTACTTGCCTAACAGCCAAACGTAATGTTTCAGGATTGTTTGTTGCTGCTTTCTACACATATATACAGATGTACTGGATTTACTTTGAGAGAGGTTATTTGGTTGTGGCAAGTGAGTAGTTTAGCTGGTGACTGTTCACAGTTAAAAGTAGCTGTAATGACCTCTGACAGATGTCACTGATCACTTGGGAGACAGAATTTTTCCACTTCAATCCATCTTCATTTATGTCCTTGGACATTGCAAACCCAGCTTATTTGATTTCTGCAGCCAAGGAGAATTGTTTTCTTTCCAAGAGTAGGATAAAGTTCATGGAAATCTGTTTCAGTATTTACAAGACTATTTTTTCCCATTTGCAAAAATGTCTCAAGTTTTGTAGACATCCTTAAGCCCATGTATCTGGACAGATGACATTTGCAATTGCTCAGCCAGTTGAAGAATTTCATTAAGAAGGATATTGTTACAAGGATGGACAGGAGATTCAGCATATCCCCTGTTATTTGCCAGGTGGCAGCAGCTGACCCGAATTTGGAGAGAATCAACCAAAAAGGGCCACGCACAACATTAAGAAGCATTGCTAACAGAAAACAAAATGCTCAGATACATATGTAAAATAACAAACACTGAAGAGGATGTTTGACTTCTGATTTCACCATGTAGACAAAAGCAGTGTGGGAATAAGGTAGTCGGCTCACTTATCCAAGATACTGCTGAGTTCACTGTTCTATCACAAAGGGAAATTCACAGGCCTCATTTCTCAAATACCACTTAGAACAAAGCAGGAGAGAGTAAACAGCATCATCTCCATGGCAGCATTACAGATAATTAGTAAATCAGGCAGGGAGAGGGCTACACAAGGCTACAAGTGCCCAGTTTTCAATAAAAACACATATACATATATGCAAACCTTATCCTAATGCATTGTTTTTCTTTATACTGATTCATAAAAGTAGACAAGGGATGTGGTGAATTATGTGTTACTAGGAGTAGACAAAATTTTAAACACTTGGCACAATATGTAGGAGGAAGAGAAGACACACATTTCTCACATTTTGGCAGCAAAACAGTAACAAAGTGGATGCAGAAAAGGCCAAACAATTTATATTAACAGCACACTTGCACATATCCTCTGTAAACACATTTTAAAGTAACATCTTACTCTGTTCTTGGTATGCTATATATAGGGATTCCCAGAATGACAGGCATTCCCAGAAATGAGAGGAAAAACATTAGTATAAGCTAGGAACAGTGAAACCTCAATACGCTATAATACAAACAAACGCTATTTTCCTCTTCTGCTTTCTACTTGAAGACAGTAAGCTCCTATTATGAATTTGGTTCTGAAATCCAGCCTCTAAGGTATATGTTACACATGCATATTTAGTTCAATTTATTTCAATTTTTATGTTTAACTGTATAACACGGTGAACACTGGTAATCAAAACAGTATCAGAGAATTCTCAAGATTAAAAAAATCATCAAAGATCAAATTACATTCAATATAGATGAACTTATCAAGGCAGGAAACATACTAACACATTTTATAAATATTTCATTTCAGACGTGAACAAAAAGGTTTCTGGTTAACCTTGACTTATCAATCCATTCAACTTTTGCCAGTGACCCAAAGCACAAAGGTTAATCAATATTTTACTCTATGTAAAGTAGTTGGTCTGTGGCATTCGAAATCAATCATCCAGAAATACATAATTAGAAAAGCATTCAAGATAAACAAATGACAGCTAAAGCTGCCACATTTTTCTCATGGTCATAAAAATAGAACAATCAATCTTTAAATTAAAAATTTTAGTATTCATTTGTTAAGTGGCAGAGCATCTTAATATTTTAAATGTTGAATTGTCTTCCAGACATGGAGTTCTAACTCATCTTTTTACTACTGGTTTAAGGAATATTTTCTATTTCTTGATTCAATAAAATATTTCCTCCATATATTTCACAACAGAATGCATGAAAAAGAACCAAATCATATCTAAGAGAAATGAAGGGTAAAACCAGACAACTTTCAACCCAATGTGTGTCATGCAGGTAAAGTAAGGAAAAAACTGAGCAAGTTCAAAGAGTCTGCCACGAAAACTGTTTTGCAACTTCATCTGTTGAATGAACCTTAGGTTTTACAAATAAGGTATACTAAATGGTTTTATTGTGAGAGTAACTTAGGGGAGGTATCACAATATAAAAATGCTGCTATCTTGAGTAGGTCCCTATCTTATTTATCCATCTGAAGATATATTTCTGTTATTGTCCTTAAAAGCTGTTAGTTCCATAGGACTTAATGAGCAACAAAACAAACAATATTTTTGTAATATTTTGTGACAATCTCTTGAGTGTTGTGCAAGTGAATAATTTGGTTCCAGCACCGAAGAAAACCAGTTAAACTTAGCACATTAAACAAATTTTCTTAAAGTTTTGAGAGGCATAACCACAATAGCAAAGCTAGCAATTTTAATGTATTTAATGTGAGACAAATGCCTACAACTCTCTCAGGCCTCTGCTTCATTTAACTGTTTACAAATCATGTGGTTACTCTAAAGTCATGAAAATAAATATTATTACCAGATGCGAAATTCCTTATTCTCGCCTATTTTAATGCAGGGACAGCCTGTTCTAGCCACTTCACAGCAGAGGATTACCTGGGGCCACCCATCTGGAGTAGGCACTGTTGACAGCTGCTACTGTGTACACAGGCTGTACTCTGTGTATACACAGCATGTATGCCCATGTGGGAGGGAGAAGCCAGCTAGCGAGAACTAGCAGAGAGATTATGTCCTGGCAGAGGCATCTGAGACAGAAGTGACACGAACACAACTACAAATGGGTATTTAAGGCCCAAAGAGAGAGTTTTAGGCTGAATCTCTAATCATTAATAGTAATTTGCTTGGTAATTTGATGGAAATTTCGCATTACATAGTATTGTTAATAGACACCAATGGGTAAGAAACTGAAAAATGTGCCTTATTAAAAAATTCCTTCTAATTTCCAAATACAACAACTGTAACAACTCTCAGGCTCTGAGGAATACTGGTCCACGTATGCAAGCTTTGTCTACAGTTAAACTGCTTCAGAATAAATCAAAGGCTTTTTAGGTTGTGCCGAGTGTAGGTTGTGCTGTTAAAGTTCAGGAATGATTTTTTTCCTGCATATGTTCAGAATGTGCAAAACAGAATTAAAGTGAAAAAAGCCAGAACAGATACTGTGAATTGACTGTACCCACGGGACACATGAGTCTCTAGAGAGAATACCTATGGTTAGATGCTCTTTTCTAGCTCATTCCAGGGAATGAGTTCAAAGAGGGCAACTGGTGCCCCTCCAGCATCTAAGTCTGGTTTTCTAAATGCAAAATGGAGACCAGCACTCCCCCAACAATGTCTGCAGAAGGGAAGCCTTCCCAGGGCCGTTGTTCATTTTTCCTTTCCACACTACTCCAGTTCTCAAACCAATGCTGCTCATCCAGGCCAGTGCCTTGGAGGACACGCATGTGTCTTGGGACACGCATCTCTTTTGGAGACACGGTAGGGCCAAGGTCCCAGGAAGTATAATCCACCCAAATCACAAGCCATGTTTTCGTAAAGGCCTCTTCTTTCATTGGGTTTGAAGGATATTATGGGTATTTCTCTTAAAATCAGTAAGTTTGCAGAAGTTACCCTTTTACTCCAGAGTATACACTTAAGCAATTAGATGATAGTAGTCTATGTACAAAAATTGTAAAGAAGCTCACATTCTAATTTGGTGTTGATCACATTTGTTACTGGAAGTTACTGAACCCAATTAAAAAAAAATCACAAATTGCATCCTGTTTACAGGAGTCTAAATTAAACATTGTTTTTGTTACTTATGAGGCTTTTATCATCACAGAAAAAGCAGTGTTTGGTAATCTGCTATTTATAGTTCCTTACCAGAACCTTAGCATTCTCAGTAGAATGGAGAACACCTGCACAATATCAATTTAGTATTATCCCTAATTTGATGACGCTTTTTAAGAATTCAGTCCCATGTACTTCCTCTAGGGTAAGAAAATATGAATATGTCTGGTCAGAATCACAGAGAGGCGCCTTGCCCCTTCAGTGCAAGAAAATGTGTCTATATAAATCCATGTTTAATGTAGGCGGTTTTCATAGTCAAAAGCTTAGCTAATGTTCCTAATATAACTTTCTTATATTTATTAACAGCTATAAGAAGGTTTATAAAAAGAGTTGTCTGCAGATGTTTACAAACATCAATTCAGATTTCATATTTTACACATTTAACTGCTTTTATTTAATGTTGTCTGGCCTAGGAATGAGTCAAATTTGTTCTCATTTTTTTTCCATTCTGGTTCTTATCACCTATTTAAAATTTGTGTGATTACAGCACTCTTACTGCAATAGGACTAGAAATTATAACAATGTTTTTGCCAATAGTGTTTTTGCTACTTTCAATATGAAGCAGAGATTTTAATGGGAATACTATTGTGTGCTAAATTGAGGCAGTAATACAAAATAATACATGTATAATGATATAATAATAATGCTATTTCTACGAACAACATCATATTTTTAAAAATCCAGTGAGTATTATTTTCAATTTATTAAGGTTGCAAACCTTCAGCGAAGCTTGTTTCTCTTCTCTTGTTCCTTCTTTCAAACTGAAATGACATTTTTGTTTATAGAGCTCCAGGTCAAAGGATCTAACAATTTTTAATAGCTATTTCCTATAGCGAATACTTGCTTTTTCTTCCTAGTCTTGCAGCAAAAAACTAAGCAAGCTTTGACATAGAGGGACACATGTGAATACCATAAATTTATACACAAACTCCCGTAAATACTCCCTTTCAATCTAACACAGAAGAAGGGGCAGGGCGGACGCAGCAGTTGGGGCGTCGGAAGTTCTGCAGCATGGACTGGAAAACACTGTGCTGCCTTCCTTTGAGCTTCTTATTTGAAGAAGAATCTGAGGAAATGGATCTCCGGGTCTGGCTATTTTGAGTTTTGACTAATTTCTCATGTTCCCTGATTTGTCTTTGTAAATGGTTCTGGATCGCAATTCCCAGGGACTCTGCGTCCAAGGACGCACCATACACTTCCCAGGTCATTCCCTGCTCATCCCACACGACGTCCCTGACACGCTTGGACTGTTTCAGCTGGAGCTTGGAGTCTGCACCAAGCTGCTTTTTCTTATCTCCCGGAGCGAGTCCTACCTGAGCAGCAGCTGCTGTCACATTTAACTTTTGCTCCTTGAGGAACTCGCTGACGCGGCTGGGCCTGCGTGGGCTGGCTTTGACCGAGCGAGATGGGGTCTTCTTGCCGGAACCTGGGCTGGAGTCACCCATGGGATCAGATGGCAGGCTCAGGCTGGTGGCTGTCTTGGTCTGTCTGCTTTCTTCTAAGGTGCTCTCCTGGTTCTTCCTAATTGGGGAGGGTGTAGGATTAGCAGCTGATTCTGTGCCTCCACTTTCTTGAGATTTAGGATTGAGCAGTAGGGTTTTGGTATCGGAGGTATCAGTGCCAGCAGACTCTTTTTCTTTTACTACCTGAGGAGATGCAGGCTTCTTTTCCCTTGCATCTTCTTTATTAGTGGGATCCAAGCTCCCAGAATGGTCAGCTTTGCTGATAGAGCCACAAGAGTCAGATAGTTTGCAACCTGGGTCTGTTTTGTGGCCGTTTGTGGTTTTCTCTGCAAACTCAGATGGCCTGGTTTCAGATTTCCCCAATCCATAACTTGTTTCAGCTTGACTGCATGCACTGATAGAAATCTGGTCAATGGCGGTAGCTTTCAGGGAGCTAGAATTAGTACCTGCGAGCTTTTTAGCAGTTGATTCTTCCCCTGCTGGAGTCATTCCTGCTAACTTCCCATCTTCTTTACACAGATGCTGGGCATTACTGGAGGCCAAATTGATTGACGAGGTTTTAAGGACCCCACCTGGTAGGCTCACTAGTTTATTTTCCCTTTGGAAAGCGGTGGGCACAGCTGCAGCTGCCTGAATGTGCACCTGTGGCATGATGCCAGGGCACTGGCTGGACTCCTGGGGGGCTAGCGTGCCGTCAGAGAGCTCCAGTGTGTGGCTCCCACTGCTGTGGCAAATGACACGCAGCTGCTCTTGTTCGAAATGCTCAGGAGCAGGGCTTTCCTTCAGAAATGCAGTGAGGATACTGGGACTGGTGGAGACGGATCTGCTCTCCACACTCGCCACTGCCTGCACCTCCGCATCTTGCCAAGCCCTGCTGGGAACTTCCTTGATTTCACCTTCAGCTTGGCTGGTCATCGTACTGGCTTCTTTGAACCTTGACATCGGATGCTGTACTGGTAGCAGCACCTTCTCTGGACCTGGGGGACATGCCGAAGGTTCGCTAGTGAGAGGGGCTGGTTGAGGTGTCACAGAAGTTGTGCCCTGGGGGCCCGAGGCAGTGACAGAGGGCTCCTTGTTCTCTGAACATCCAGGTTCTCTAGTTAGAGGTTTGCAGGACCTCATTTCAGAGTCACAGATGGCTCCCTGCCTTTCCCCTTTAGGTCCACCTACAGGAGAGGATGAGTGACTGACCACCCTGGCTGCTGTCACTGGAGTCTGCACTGTTCCCTGGATTGTTTCTGGGGAAGGAAACTCACAGGACACCTGATCTTTGCTGCTACCGAGGATGTCTCCCACAGGACAACTTGGTTTCTCAGGTTGCTCTCTATTTGAGGTTCTCTGTGATCTCCTCAGGGAATCTTCAGGTGCGGATGAGGTGATGGCATTGGGCTGATCACCTGGGATGGACTGGCGGGTGTACTGATTGGCAGGCATTGTCAATGGTGTGTGTATAAGATCCCTTCCTGCTGCAGAACTCGGGGCTGGCGCTGCAGGCTGGCTGCTCCCTGGCAGCTGGGAATTGCCGGGAGAGTTGAATGTGGCAGGTGCTTTCTCCACTTCATTGAAGACACCAGGAGAAGACATACCTGGCTGGGTGGTCTCATGCTCACAAGCCTGCATCAGGGCTTCGGCAGCTGCCCTGGGGCTGAGGTCTGGCTCTGCAGGGGCACCTGAAAAGCCATTGGCATTCTTACACAGGAGAGCTGGTCGATGCCGAGGTGAGGCAGCCTGTGGCCCTCCTAGATCCTCTTCTTTTCCGGAAGCTGCAATCAGGGAAGTTTTAGCTGATCTGAGAGGGTCAGGTACAGTCCCCATGGAATTTCTCGTCAGGAGCACTCCAGAGCTCTCTCTTGGGTAGTGTTCCCACTGGTAGGGGAGGGGGAGTGCAGTCAGAGCTCAGAGTGATGACACAGTCAGGGATGATTCCTCTGAAGAACCAGTCTGTGAATCAAGGAAACAGCATCATTAATACACTACGTCGCTTAAGGATTGAAAAATAAACCAAACTGTCATTTTTATAAGAGCACATTAAAAACTTTTCTTCCTATATCTGTTGATATAAAAATAGGCCTTGTAGGGAGGGAGAATAAAAAAATAAATAAAAATAGACGAGAAAAAGATTTTGAAAAAAATTATAATTACAAAAATGTTATTCGGATATATTAGTTTCTGCTTGCATCCCGCTAATGTCTAGCAAATAGGTTTTTCTTGTATCTACCAAAGTTTGCTAACTACCTCAAAAGTTACTGGTGCAATCTGATTTAGCAGATATCAGAAAATCCTGTAAAGCCACTCTAATTAAATCGTTAAGTAAGTATTGAAATAGGCATAAACAGATATGTGAAATAGGAAATCTAGGGACAGATCCAAATACAAATGGGGACTTAATCTATGACAAAAGAGGCATTACAATTTGGTGGTGAAAGGCTGAGCTATTTCATAGAAGGAGCTGGCAAACTGTTTATTCATCTGGAAGAAAAGAAAAGTAGATCTTTATATTATACCAATTCCAAAAATAAATCCTAGGTGGATGCAGTGGATTAAAGGTTAAAATATAAAATAAATAAATAAACTCATATAAGAAAACCTAGGAATCATAAATGTAATCTAGAGACAGGTGAGCTAGGCTTTTTCTGAGAAGGTAGACACACTGTAGGAGAAAACATAAACATAGGTGACTAAATAATATTCAAAACCTGAATTTTATGGCATGACAAAAGATGCCATAAAAAATACAAGATGTTTGGGGGAAATAAAAAGTGTATAGCCCTAGAGGGCAGGCAAAAATACCTATAATATAGCAGGAGCTCTTTAACATTTACAAGGAGACCAAATAATCCATTGAAAAAATAGATAACAAATATAAGAACATAGTTTACAAGATACGAAATTTAAATAACCATCAAGCTTATGAAAAGACGATCAAATTCATCTGTAGTCAAATAATGCGAATAAAGTAACAATGCAATTTTACTTCACACAAGTTGCATCAGCAAAAACTTTAAAAAAAATAGACTTTTAATAGTAAGCCCTAGGGAGACCTAGCAAAAGGAAGTGTTTTTATTAATTGTAGGTGCAAATAAATATGTATTGTTACAGCTTTCTTATGGAGGCAGTTTAACTTTTAAAACTAAAAATACACATTTCCTTGACTCAATGATACCAACTCTATCAACAGAAATAAAAACACCAACATATATGAATATGGGGACGTTTCCTGAAGTACTATTTATAGAATAAAAACAGACTGGTCTTTATAAATAGGGAGAATGATAGGATAAGTCATGACATATTTCTACTACAGAGTATTAGGCAACCAGTAAAGCAAATATTCAGCTATAACTTTTCACATGGAAGAGATTTCCTCAAGGTATGACTGAATGAGAAAAACAAGGTCCAGAAAACGGCATATACATTCTCATTTTTGTAAAACAATGACCTAAAACACTGCATATGTGTGCACACAAACAGGCACACACAGAGATATGTTTGTGTATGATAACATAAATTCTAAAAACATTTGGAATGAGACATACTAGGTTTTATTAAATAGAGGGGGAGTGATAAGCTGGGGACAGAGAGGGGAGATGAAAGTACCCAAAGGTGGAGAAATGCTGAATTTAAAAAATCTGAAATGATTTAGGGCATATGATTATGTAAAATTATATGTGTGTGTTTATGTATAAACTTTTTTTCTTTTTTTGAGACGGAGTCTTGCTCTGTCACCTAGGCTGGAGTTCAGGGGTGCAGTCATGGCTCACTGCAGCCTCGACCTCCCAGGCTCAAGCTATCTTCCCACCTCGGCCTCTCAAGTAGCTGGGACTACAGGTGAATGCCACAATGCTCAACTAATTTTTAATTTTTTTGTAGAGACAGGGTCTCTCCATGTTGCCCAGGGTAGTCTTCAACTCCCGGACTCAAGTGATCCTCCTGCCTCAGCCTCTGAAAGTGCTAGGCTTATAGGTGTAAGCCCATAGACCTGGCCTATAAGCATTTTTTAGAAAGGTAACTATACACTAGGTCATGTGGATAAAGCAATGGCTCAGAAATTAGTGGATGACTCTGTTTTAACATTTATCATTAATAAGTCATGTTACCTCAGGCTAATCACTTCATCTTTCTGAACCCCAAATTGACTCACTGGCAAAATGAATTAAATGATTTCTGAGGATTGTTCTAGCTCCAAAATTCACGGATTCTACTTCTTTGCACATGATGAATAATACATCAAACTGTATGATCTTCACTCAGGCTACAAAGTGTCAAAATAAGGCAAAATCAAATCCGGCTGGGCCCAGATTTTGAAAATACATAATTTTATCTTTTAGCTCAATGTAATCCAGCAGACCTATGATCACATAAGATCTAACAATAAATAGAATGTATTTTCTCCTCTACACAAGTTCTTCCTTCTAACTTCATTCTTTATATGAATAGGTTGAATATTTTCCCATGCCTGGTCTTACCTGCTTTCTGCTCAAACCATTTCTCTAGGTTTCTCTTCTATTTCTTCCTTACCCCAGTATTCTGTTGCAAAATCATTTGCCCCGCCTCAGCCAGTCTTTCACTCTCTTTTGCGTTTGCGTTTTTTATACTTTTCCTCCCACTGTCTGCCCTCCTCATCCTCAAAAAACCTACCCATTCTTCAAGGCCCCACTTAAATCCCATTTTTTTTCTGAAGCCCTCTGAAGACTTCAAGTTATGAAGTCTCTCTTTTCTTAAAAAAGAACTCCTCCAGGTTAGTTGGTCATCTGTGTCCTTTGCATTGTTCTTTTTATGCACTGTTTTTGCTCCATTGTTACTTACATAAATGCCTCATTTTTCCAAAAACACTGCAAGCCCCAGAAGGAAAAGAAAGAAGCCTTTTGATTCTTTTCTGTTGACTCTACAGGACACAGTGCAGGGTCTTGTGTATAAAAAGTTGTTAATTGATCCTGTTACCCTCCAAAATGGCCATTATTGCAGCTCTGCCAAATGTCAAACTTACAGGAAAATTTGATCCATGGCATGAAATGTTAATAAAAACACAATGGAAAAGAGTGCTTTTGGAAGTGAGAAAATGGTGTTATCTTACTTATTAAACTTTATGTATCTGTAATCCAGGTTTAGATAACTAAAACCAAGAACACTGAACACCTGCTATGAAAAGTTGGAAGGTCTCATAAAGCCAGGGACACAGAATATCTCCTGTGTTGTAAGGCTGGTGTCAAGGAAGCTTGTTCGCCAAAGAGGACTATAAAACATGAACAGCTCAAAGTTCAGCAACTGAAAGTTAAAAGATTTAGATGAAGATGACTTCACAAAACTCTCAGAAGTCCATTGTGTTCACTTCCATTTCCAACACACAGCTAACTGTTAGTTTAACTTTGAAAGTGTTTTATTTCATTTGCTTTGCTAATAGAGGTTTAATTGTCCATCAGTTGAAGATCAAGAAGAAAAGCCCAAATTGCTTGCCTAACACCTGGCACTCGAAATCTCTGTATTTATGCATAGATAACAAATCAATACTACTCTCCAATCTGTCTGCTAATGGAATTGTCACAGCATCTCCCCGAGCCCAGAAGAGACTCCCCCAAGCTCTGAACCAACCCTCCTTCCCTCCCTCACTGAATGGCAGAAATCTATGGGCTCCAGTAGGTCAGACAAGACAAACTGGACATTTAAAAAGTATAACTACTTGTTGGTTTAGAGTGGGGAGTATGTGTCTTTATCATCAACCAGAGTCCATTATGGTAAGATTTAATAACTTGGACTAAAAATAAGATGCAAACAGATGGCTCCCAGACTGAATGAGTCCCTTCTACAGAAGGGTGTGTTGCATCTGTGTGTGTGTGTGTGTGTGTGTGTGTGTGTGTGGAGTGTGTGTGCTGCATGTTTTTCTCTTCCTCCTTCCTTTCCCCTTCCCCTTCCCTTTCTTTTTCCTTCTTTCTCTTTTTTTAAACTTCTTTTTAAGTTCAGGGGTAAATGTGTAGGTCTGTTATATGGGTAAACGCATGTCACAGGGGTTTGCTGCACAGATTACTTCATCACCCAGATATTAAGCCTAGTACTCATTAGTTAGTTTTTTCTGATCCTCTCCCTCCTCCCACTCTCCACCCTCTGATAGGCCCTAGTGTCTGTTGTTCTCCTGTATATGTTCATGTGTTCTCATCATTTAGCTCCCACTGAAAAGTGAGAACATGCGGTATTTGATTTTCTGTTCCTGCATTAGTTTGCTAAGGATAATGGCCTCCAGCTCCATCCATGTTTCTGCGAAAGACATGATCTCATTCTTTTTTTATGGCTGCATAGTATTCCATGGTGTATATGTATCACATGTTCTTTATCCAGTCTATCATTGTTGGGCATTTAGGTTGATTCCATGTCTTTGCTATTGTGAATAGTGCTGCAATGAACATCCACATGCATGTGTCTTTACGACAGAATGATTTATAATCCTTTGGAATAGACACAATAATGGAATTGCTGGGTTGAATAGTAGTTCTCTTTTTAGGTCTTTGAGGAATAGCCACACTGTTTTCCACAGTGATGGAGCTCTTTCCCTATTCCCTTCCCTTTCTTTTCCTTCTTTTTCTTTTGAATTGAAGAGATCTTTCATACAAATCCAGATTTCTCCCTTGTTTCTATTTATTGTAAGGTTTGCATTTCCAGATGGCAACAACTAGGTGGCACTGAGAAGAACTGTCCCTCTTGATGGGCGGGGACTCTCCAAGTGACCCATTCCCCAGGAGTCCTGCTACACTTGTTAACATTACTTAGCTGGGGTTGTGTGTGCAGCTGGGTTTGAAGACCTTGTGCTAAAAGTACTGAGAAAGTAGACTTTCCACTCTAATTTTCAGGCCTCTGAGGGCAGTCTGACATTGTGTTTAAGAACATGGACTCTGGGGCAGACTCCTTGGATTAGAATATCAGTTTCACTACCTACCTTTAGCTCTGTGTGC